TAAATGAATTCAATGACTCAAATACAAACTATAAAGGAATTCTCATTTTATATTGAAGCCATTAGATTGTCATTGTGATAAAAAATAAGAGATATCTACACAAAGTGATGCCTGTATTTTAATATATAATATATATATATACATACCATCTGCCATAAAATCTAGAAAACCTACAAATTCAAAAACTGAAACTCATTTCAAAAGTCATTAACAGGCAATGAAACAGAGAAAGCTTTGTCGACAGTTATCATATTTTATGCCCATATTTGGGTGCAATATGACATCATAATGCCCATATATGACCACATCACATAAATCTGTCACATAAAAATGTGAGTTTGTACAGAGCTCTACAGATATTTCAATAGAAAAATTGTGAGTACCGACCAGTGGTGATGTCAAGATTTGCCTGACGGGGGAAAATGTCTCCGACGGCAAAAAGTGGGTGTGGTCGGGCATCACTCAAAATATTTCAAAAGTTTCCAGGGGCGAATTAATCGATTTTAATGTAGAAGATACAATTTTTTTTCTCCCTGATGAGTTGTGGTTGTTACCGATCAAGTGTCTATATGCAGTATATGGGTTGACCTATCACTTGGCAAGGAAAACATTAATTCATAATTATATTGAAAGCTTAACTAAGGTAACACCCTTAACAAACTACTACTCAAATATTCATTTTTTTTTTCATTTACAGTAGTTTATTTTTATGACAATTTTTTATTTTCAAACTAGGAGAGAAACATAGTGTGAAGCATCTTCACAACACATTAATGTAGTAGTCTTCTTGATAAGTATGTGACACTTTTAAGTGTTATGTACTTTAAGTGTTATATGTCTACAGTTATGATGAGTCTACACTTTTCAAATGCCCTTGATAGTAGGACACGAATGCGTTGTAACAACATTGTGTCTGGAAAGGCTGGTTTTCGTAACATACATCACTACACTGGCTTACACTACATACTTTCCACAGAAAAAAATACACAATTTGCCAACGGTCAAAATTCCTGACCGGTTGAAGGCAGCTAGCTTTACATGTGGTATGTACGATGACTTAACCTGCCAATTAATGGATGGAATAATGCTTTATAAACCATCTCTTTAAGAGGCTTTAGGAATGGAGTTGTTTTTAGTCATGAGAAAAGATGTATGTCACAGGAAATGAACTCATACCCTTGGATTACAAGGCAAGCATTTACACAAGACAAAAACACTACAGAGAGTAAAACCTATATGTGGTGTACCCTATGCCAGCTTTACACTCTGTGTCTGAAAATGCCCTCAGATCAAATATTTACAGATTTTATCACTATATAAACCAGGGGTTACAAGTTAGATGAAATCCAGGAGACCCCCCACCCCCCTGACTAATCCAGGAGACTCTCCCGACTAATCAGGGAGACTCCCGCGACTTCCGGGAGACTTGGGACCCCTGTATAAACTGATGGTAAAACTACAGAAGGAATAGTGTCCTTCATAAGTTCAACAGTATCATTTGCAGCATTATGTGCTGATTTGTGTACTCTGTGTGGTCTGCCACTGTAGCAGGCATATAGAGGGGCATGCTCACATCATTTCCTAACACGGGCTGAAATGAACCAGAACACTGAGGTACAGTAATATATTTTATGCAACGGTTTTATGAAAGCGCACACAAGCCAAATATATATTTATATATTATTATTATTATTATTATTATTATTATTATTATTATTTCACTAAATCAGACTTACAGTAAGGAGAATATCTTTTGTGTGATTTTCCCCTTAACATCATGTTATTTTCCTCTTAACATCGTTTTTCCAATTGTTCTCTTTTCTCTAATGTATAATTTCCCCTTATGGCAGGTTTTAGTAACATTATTATTATTATTATTATTATTATTATTGTTATTATTATTCATATTATTATTATTATAAAATAAAATAGCTTCAAAATTTAAGCTGACTTTGAGAAATGTAACAATATTTTAAAATATTTACTTTAATTTAAAATCATTCTAATTTCAATGCCGTCATGCTCTGCCAGCACTGTGACATAAGTGTTCAGCAAAGTTCTATTGTACTATTGTACGAGGCTGAAGGCATTATGTGAAGTCTTGGCACTTTATAAATACCAGTGATTGATTGATTGGTGTGAATTGATGACAATGCATAGATAAGCTATAACTGACATTAAGCTCAATCCCCAGGCAGTAGGACTTGGGAACAACACAGTAATCAGATCACTTGTCTCTATATCTGCAGGTATTCTTACTGTATACTGTAATTTAACTACAAAAAAAAAGCCTAAAGTAATCATATCAAGCATGTTCTATAATAGTTAAATCAATCCCTCCTTGCTGTGTATTCTGCTTGTGTCCTTAGGCAAGGCACTTTATATGCCTTGCTTCTCTCCACCCAGGAGTATAAACGGGCCAATATATGGCAGCAACACTTAAGTTTGGCTTCCCTACAATCGCTACACGCTGTCGCCAATAGCTTGAATCGGCGAACCTTCCCAATCGCGCGGAGATTGCTATGCAGCATAATGATTGCACTCAAAACAAGGTAGCGACAGTGTAGCAATTTTAAAAGGGAACTAGGAAGATGATTTTTTTTGACTAGAGGGGATTTTTGATATGCCATTAATAATAGAATGAATTTTAAAATAATTTTTTTGGAAATTTAGTACATGCCATTATATGCGATTTTACCCCTTTAGCGGTATGACATCACTGTAAGGTAATGTAACCAAACATCATATAAATAGCGATGTATAGGGTATTCGCCGCGGACAATCTTTTTGTGCATGCTGTAACCATGGCTGTAATTCTTTTGTTGACAACCGCTGATGTATATCAATTCCTATGCATAATCAGTACATCTAGTTCCCTTTTAAACAAACCAGGCTTCGATCAAGTTGTCCCAATGACCAGGGAAAACAAAGTGTAGGTTCTATATATTATAATACCAAATAACAAGTAACCTAATTTGAGTTTGAATATTCATTAAATATGTTTGTTAGTGATACAGTAGTACAATGCATTTGAAACCCTGTAGGCAATGATACATCACATGAATTTAGGATGATTTATTAAGTATCAACCTAAATATTATCATACTCAATCTTTGATTGATCAAATCTTTAATTAATACTTATTTATAAGACGTCTGTAGAAAAAAAAGAAAAAAAAAAAAGGCATAAATGCATCGCCATACTTCACACAAATGAACTCAGTACAGTACAGTTCTTTATTTATTCAGTAGGATAGAATAGTCCGACACCATTTTCACTTGAGTTGAGTTCTGTTCCGCCGAGCTCTCAATTATGGGAGCTCCAAAGTGCTGGAGAAGGGAGCCGTGAAAATAGTTCCTGTTTAGTTGGATATCCTTTATTTTTTGTTACTGTTAGAATATTTTATGGTTTCATTCCTTTTCACTTAAGCACTTAGAAGCACTGTTTTGTATTACACGCTCGATAAGACTAACAACATTATTATTATTATTATTATTAACTTGTATTAACCCTAAATTGACTTACTTACCTATCATTTTTAATCATTCCTTGTTAAATGTATGTTTTATAATTGGTGAAAATGTAAGATAAAATAATTATTATACCAGAAACCTTTGTAGAAATATTTATTTGACCTTATGAAGTCAGTTAACCGATGGTCAATGGTCAACGGTCTTGTATTTATATAGCACCTTCTACAGTAAAAACGTCTCAAGGTGCTTTTAAGCCACAACAAACTAAAATTTAATTTCTGCACATTTATGAAGGGGAGAAGGAAAATGCGTACCCCCGATTTTGAAGATTGCGTCACCACTACTACCATGTACACTATCGTACCGTGGTATTGAAGTACTGCAAGTTCACATTGCCATTCCATAGCATCTTATAACTATTTTTTATCACATGGAAGCTGCGGAGTAGGTGGAGTTGAGGAATCTACATTTCACTGACTGAAAGGTACCAAAGATGAAAGATGAAGAGGATGATGATGATGATGATGATGATGATGATGATAAAGATGACGATGTTGTTGTAATGTTGCTTTAGCCCATAACCAATGTGCTGTTTAGTGAAACAAAATTAAAAAGTTTTCAGACTATTTTTGAAAATGATGAGAGAAGGGGAATTGCCAAACTTCAACCAGGCAGAATTCCATAGAGATGGCGCAGCAACAGAAAATGCTTCAATGTCACCATAAGATTTTCATTCGACAAGATGGAGTGTGATGATGCCAGAATATTTTGTTTATCATATGATTATAAGAAACTAATACATATGGCAACAGAGCCAATGACAAGGATGATGAGGGCTCAAAATCATCAATCATGTCTTAGATATCATTGTACTCTTAAGAGTCTTATCAAATGCAATCATCATATTATGAAATAAATGAAGTTAGGTCTGCAGAAAGTTTTAAACATACAGTATATTACATAGAAAATACTTTTGAGGTTGGTACTGTCCTTGAGACTGACTGATAGCAAATTTAATAAATGAACCAAAATGTAAAAAAAAAAAAAAACATATACTAATATATATTGGTGCTAAAAATGCCCTTAGCTTTTCAAAGATCAAATTTAATATTTCCTGTCAACTGAAAACAGATGTTGACAATCCCATATTTATTAATTTTGATATTCCTTCATTTGATTTAACAATTTAATTTGTATGCATTATAAAATTATATAAAACAAGTTAAAAGCAGGGGCGCCGCAACCTACAGCCATAATATTGGTTCGAGCAGAAGGCTCGCGTATGGTTGTCTGGAGATGGAACAAGTCTTCTCGGTTAGGGACTATAATCCATAGGCTAAGTGTACACAATTGGCTCAGGCACATTTTAAAGAACCCAGTACATCTTTTGAGATGAGTAGGGGGTTTACCCTGGTGTACTGGTCCATTACTGCCCCTGTTACCCTGCAGTCATGGATCATTGGGTCCTCTGCAGGATGTACCAATGCCCTCAATCCAACAGAAAAATATACTAAAATAACATCTTACCCTGAAGCACTCCTTCGTGGATTATTTTCCAAGCTTGTTGCAGTGCTTCTTCTACCGGAGACTACCTTAAGTCTTTCTTTGTCTGTAGGCTTGGTGTGGGGTCGGGATGAACATTTGCTCTTCGGCTCATCCGCTTGTAAGCTGGACTGAGTTCCAGGTGGCTTTGGAAAACCTGCAAAATAAGCAAACACCAGGTCTTGTGTAATGGTCCCTGTGGCCAAGTATTTTAGCTGCAATGTATTACATAATTGCTGTTATTGTATTGTTTTTTTAGAGGGCCCATTACAGTCAGCTTTGTTGTTAGGTCACCCTTAATTATAACAGATTGTTGAATGAATAAATAATAAAGTAAATCATTTATTTTAAACATTATATTATGTCAAAGAAATATAATAATTTATGTTAGTTTTTAATTAATTATTCTCTGCATATACTTTTTAAAATTAAATTCTTTAAATCATTTTGTTACATATAAATAATTTTACATTATCTCAATTTTACAGTCTTTCAATTACGCATTTATTTATGTTTTGTTGATTTTGTTTCGACAATTCATTATACAGAAAGGACATAATTTTTTTAGTTAATATTTATCAATTTAAAATTTTTATTTGTCCACTATAAATCTACCCTTATTTTTTTCTGTAACTTTTATTGTCTTATAATGTATGTTTAGTAATTTTCTTTTAAGCCAGACTTTATAAATTGAATAATTGATTGACAAATTGCATGGGATAAACCGGCATATTATGGCTTTACATTAAATATTTTATATATAATAATAATTTTATATACTATGCCCAGTGGAACAGTGGTGTGCTAATGAACAAACTCTTCAAATTTATGAATAAATTGATAAAAAAAGAATGTGCAAAATAAATCATATTGTATAACATCAGCAAGCAATGGCACCAGGGAATAGTAGTGTGGTGATAACAGAGTTTGTTTTTTTATTTGGATCATGCTTGCGAATACATTATTACCTAAAGTAGCCAATTGTGTGTGTGTATTATATTTATTCATAATACCTTTAATGATCTGATTCATCATCTAAAACTAGGTACGAGCCCTTCTAAGATAAGATATGGGTGTTCTTCCTCAAAGAAAAGGCATTTAATGAGTATCTCCTTGGCCATTCTCCGATAAGTTGAGGCATCGTTTTTCTTGCTACTGGCCTTTTTTGAATAAGTTGCTAGGGTGGATCCTGGGAGGAAACATGAGATAGTTCCCCCTTCCCCCACCAAAAAAAAAAAAAATGAGAAAAAAAAGAGGGAATAAAAGAAATGAGAAAGAGGGGAGCATGGTACTCAAAAACAAGCTAATATTCGATTTAAATTCTGTGTAGTGTAGTCAAGCATTTCTAAATAAATGAGTTAGAAGTATGGGCTTTTCATTTAAAATTAAAATACAGGTATTTCTTTTGCTATGATCAGTGGCATAACGCCTACGCCCTTCCTATAGGTTCCTCGATCTAGTACCTTGATCAAAAAGGACTTTGTTGATAAATAACACCATAATGTGTCTCTGAAATCGACTGTAGGGCATATATCATACTATAACGATTAAAGAGGGCTGGGGCCCCCTCTCAGCCCGGGACCCCACCAAATTCGTCAAAAAAAAAGAAAAATTAAAAATGGAGATAAAAAGAAAATTATATTCAAAATTCTGCGAGTGCCATTTCCGATCACCTAGATGTGCCATAATAATACATTTTCTTATCTCAGCCCCACAAGGGCAACAGCATAATGTGTGTCTGAAATCGACTGTAAGACATATCATATTATGTCCAGTGGTGAAATAAGAGTTGTGGGGGGGAACTGTCGGCCTGTAGCTGCCGGCCCGGGGCCCCACTAAAATTGTCAAAAGATTTTTTAACTGGAGATAAAATTAAAAATGGAGATAAAAAGAAAATTATATTACAAATTTTAAGTGTGTGAAGTGCCATTTCCGACCATCTAAAAGTGCTATATTCATAAATTTTCTTACCTCAGCCCCAACCATGGTGGGTCTGAAGTGGTATAGACTCTCCAACTGTGAAAGTCCCTCCCCGGCCTCAACTTTCTGGATCCATATTATATCATTTATTCGTCATTAAAAACATTTAGAATAACAATACACATCTAAAATCCCTTGATGGAATTCCCAAAAAGGGCCCCCAGTTTCAGAAATACACAGGGCCCAGGCCCCATCGTTACGCCACTGGCTATGATTAAGTACAAAGTATTCATCCTCATAGATAAAAAAAAATGGCCTTTTTTATATTTTATTTGAATTCAAAGTAACAATTTACTGACTTCATTTCATTTCACATGCAACAATATGTGAACAAAAATAAAAAAGAAAATAAAAAAGCACAAATTTATGTCAAGGATGACAAACAGTAATATATCTGATTGAATCTCCTACTAAATAAAACATTAAAGAATTAAAGAGGGAAAAATGGAACAAGTTTTTGAGATAATATTGTTGAAAATTGTGTTAAAAAGTAGAAAAAAAATCATCTATCACAGTCAAGAGAACATGTTGCAACTACAGAAAAAAAACCTTTTACAAGAGATTAAGAAATAACACTTATTATGGATTTACAATTATTTCTGATGGTGATCTAGAGCTTAGTGACTGTTTTATATAGGGTATAGCTAAGCTTATAAGCATCAGCGAATAGAATCAGATCAAATTACATACATAAAATGCATTTGGTAAATGCAATAAAATGAAATATCCTAGCTGAAATCTTGTTACAATATAGGGCAGGGTATAAACAAGGATGCACAACATTTTATCAATCATCACTATTTAATATCAATATTATTTTAAATAAATAAGAATAAATAATAATAATTTTGTATGTCACTTCTAATTGGAGAAGTGATTGGTTCAGCATTACATCATCTAAAAAGCATCTGGATTCAATTATTCAATGTTGTTTTATTTTTACTATTTTTTTTTTTTTCCTTTTTTTTTTTATGAACCAGGAATTATAGGAAATGTTTACATACTAAACATAGCTTCCCATGCCAGCAGGCATAATGGGCAAGAAAAAAGTTTATTCACTAAACGTTGTGTAAGTAAACATTTCAGTATGAATTAATTAAAAATGTTAATATGCTTCACTATTTAATATTTTATCATTTGCATCATGCGATTCCTTATTTTATATAATCATAAGTTGAAGAATAAAATATTAAAGGAGTCGTATGATTATTAAGAATAATAAACAAGTAGTTTCTTGGTATAAGTAATATAAAAATCTCTTTTATTCAATTTTATATCTTACTTTTTGATTTTTTATATTTTGTTCATCTTTGGGGGTACTGTTAAATATTGTCTAGTGTGTGCCACTGTATAAAATTGTATTAATATCCTCTTGTTCATAGTGTAGAGGAGTATGTTGCCACCATTATATATGCAGAACCAAAAACAATTTTAAAGGAGATTTTCCCCCCGAGCCACAGCTTTTTCTCTACCAGACTGTTCTCCTGATGAATTCAACACCTTGCCCACTCTACTTTAATGTTTCTTTAATGCATGTTCACATTGAGTGGAGTTAATGAGCTTGGTGGTAAAGATGCTTGCCCTCCAATCCCAGTGTCCTGGGTTCAATTCCTGTCAATGTTGCAGGATTTTATCTCACGACCAAAACAATTCCACTCCCTAAACATCATATTGAGATTTAGTTTGTGTAAAGTGTGTGTATGTTTGTTGTGTGTAAGGGACTGTCCCCTACAAGTAAGACATATTCGCTATTGACAATCCTTGGTGCATGTGTTGTCCACCTAAATAAATAATAATATGATTCATAGAATGGCAAACCTTGCTGGTGGCAGCGTCGTGTAAACATTCTTTGTTGGAAGAAGGCATCTATTATATACGCGCAGTGGTCATTTTGTTTAGAATAAACAAAAAAAGGACTTTCTACATGCGCACATTTTTCAAAACTTTTTAAAAAAACACCCACCCCTTAATATTTTATGAAATTAGGGATGGCAGTTGACAATACAATACAATAATTTATCCAAATATTATTGTAGCAATGACCATATGTGGCAAAGACAAGCCAAACCAGTCACTCGTCGCAAATCGTGTTTTAGAGAAAATGGCCAAATCATGCTGGAATGTCAAATTTTTGAAAATCTATTTTATTGCACTAAACTAACCTTTATATACCTACACATCATTCTATGCTGTTATTTTCCCAATGTGCAATGTTAAAACAACATTTTTAAGGATTTGATGATAGTTTCTGCATGATAAATGCCTGAAATCATAAACTTTGAAGGCTGATTTCTCATATATAGTTCTTTAAACAGCTGTGTGTTTAAACGCTTTTAATTTCATAAGGAAATGTTGGATTTGAATTATTTTTTTACATTTTATAGCTATTATTTTACTCTCTAACACTGTATTAATAACTCAAAATCAATTTTTGCGACGAGTGACTGGTTTGGCTTGACTTTGCCACATATTATATGCTTGAATGAATATTTTCAAAAAACCAAGAACATACTTTTTTGATCCTCATTGTCTTGTCCTGATTCCAATCTGGCTTTTACTCTCTGAGACCTATAACATAAAAATCAAAGACATCATCATCATAAGCATTTACATAAATTGAATAGATACTTGTAACTAATATCTTATATTTTCAAGATTTAATCCAATTATACACATTTGCTATTGATGCAATGCCACCATTCATAGCGGGCAAGTACTCAGCATGTTGCATGCCCTGTAGGCATTGAATGTGGGCAAGTACTCAATGACATATTGCATGCCCTGTAGGCACATTCAATGTGGGCATATACTCAACATGTTGCCAGCCTTATGATGTACATGATACATGTATGATCAAAGAAAGCCAATGGGCAAAAACTTCTTTGTTGCGAATTAATATTTTGTTCCCGGGTTTTATTTGAATCTTTCTCTAACTTTGCCAATGTGTCTTACTTTTTATATGTATATAAATGTAAAATACAACAACAGGAATAATGGTGATGTCAATTAAATAAAAACTTACGACAGAATGTTCTTAATCAAGCCAACAGCTGAGTCTTCAACTTGCGTTTTCCCAGCCTTCATCACTGTCACCACAGTATGTGTTTGTGGTGCCTGTTGGCTTGGTTCTGCCTGGAACCCTACCTTTCCACTTATTACGATGTTGCCGTTCAAGGTGGCGGAGGGTGGCGGTCTCTGGTGTTCAGAACAATTCAAGTAGTGGCTTCGCTCTTCAAATGAATTGAAAATGTCTGGTAGGCTATCCATCAGTTCCCATGCAGTAATTTGCTAAATTAAAATCAACAGAAGAAATAATATCTGATATTTCCATTATTAATTATTATAATTTTGATTGGAATTTCCTTTTCGATGAAGGAATAGTAACGGTAGGATATTTGTAGAGCGCCTTCCACAATAAAATCGTCTCAAGGCGCTGACAGTATACAGACCCAAAGTCGGATTGAAAAAAAACTAAATAAAAATTTTAAAAATAAATAAAGAATAAAATAAGCAAACAAGCCGGAAGGAAATTCTAATCAAAATACATGACGAAAACCGATGAAGTTTTTCAATTATATTATAATAATAATATGTTATATTTATTTAGTGCTTAATGCCAACAAGGCCTCTAAGCGTTTCACATTACTACACCCAGTCATTGGATTAGACGCCTATGGAACACAAACTGTTCCATAAAGTTGCAGCAGTTACATCAGCGCATTTTGGCATTTAACCCTACCAGGTACCCATTTATACTCCTGGGTGGAGAGAAGCAATGTAGATAAAGTGCCTTGCCCAAGGACACAAGCAAAATGCACAGCGAGGGGATTGAAACCCAACCTCGAGATTGGGAAACCAAACCGTTCCGCCAAACCACTTCTACAATATTATATTCTATAACATTATTATTAATTAAGATATCAATAGGGAGATTTCGATTGCATGATGACGGTAGGACATAGAATGTAATGACGTTACTAAAAGTCATCTGCGCATGCAAGAACATTAAGGTCACCTCGTCGAGTAGATTCTGGAACGCAATTTGGCCAAATCTATGTATGCAGAGAACGTAGGACGCCAGGTAGGATGGTCACGCATGAGTGATTCCGTTCTAGCGTCGCGTCGTTGCACAAATCAAAAGCTCCCTTTTAAGCAGAGGAAGCTCTGAAGATACAGGTCATTTACAATTGACCTTTCATGAGTGTCAATCAAACTTAACGACTGACCAATCAGAACCGGGCCAGGAATCATGCTTGTCTAACAAGCACACGTGTTGTCCCGCATGTTTCCGTAATTTTAGCACTGTGGTTTTGTGGGACGTAGCAATAAGGTCCTGTCATATTTTATGAGGTGCATGAAGTGTCAGTGACATATTCAACATAAAACTGTGCATCTTAATTAAAATAAAGTAGTCGTTTTGTGGGGACCTTAGCAATAAGCTCCTGTTAATATATATAAAAGTTATGAGGTTTATGAAGTGTCAGTAACATCTTCAACATAAAACTGTACATCTTAATTAAAATAATGATTCTATCATTTCAGAGGTCATAACCTATGCTTAGAAAAGCCACTACTGTATCTAAAATTTGTCAGTTATATTGATTTTGGAATATATGTTCTCTATGTCAGTTTTTTTTTATACTGTACATTTTTATTTTTCATGTGTAAAAAGAATTATGTTAATTTATAGTATATCATGATAATGTTGAAATATATCAACCATAAGATTTCTTGTATTTTATGCTAGTATGGTACTCATTTTGATATCTTACAATGTTATTTCATAGTAGTAAAGATAGACAGGGTATTTGTAAATAATTTTGGAAAAAAAAATTCAGTGAATATTTCAGTACCCATATAATTATGAAGATTCGTATGTACAGTAGTGGTTTCTAAATTAAGTAAATAAGTTTATTTAATTCAGTATCCATGTTTTATTATTTAGTTCACATGATGAAATGACATCTATCCAACATAGGGCCCAGATTAACTGAACTCTATAAAAAATTAACCTGTCAATGTAAAATAATTATATCAACACTTTACAGAGTGTGTCAGTGTCTGACCTGTGTGGGTATATAGTATATACTAGATTGAGCATGCTTGCAGCGCATGTACGTTTTGCCAACATCTGCAGTGATTCTCAATAACAAAACCAGCAAAAAAGACATGCAAGCGATAAAGCATCAACTGTGGTCTAGATTCAAATGCAAGTTTGAAGGTTTTTCTTTTATTAAAATTGAATTATAATGCAATAGCATTTTATAATTGAAACTATGAATTACAAACTCATTTAAAGGTGATATTGGATGATACAAAATAGGACTTACTCTAATTAGGACAAAGCAATACATAAAGGGTCAATTAGTGATTTCCCATCACAAATGCCATGTAGATAGTTTGCAGTATGTGCTTTGATGTTTGTCAATAGGTTTTAAATAATTATTTCATATTTTACTAAACTAATCAAAATTTAATCAGTGAATCATTATGTTAACTCGTAATGTGATATTAAGCTGGAAATGTTTTCTAGGACAAACTTCAATATACAGAGCATAGTGCTCCCAATCTGAAAAAGAAACTTAATTAATTTTCGTTCCTGCACATGATTAGATGTCTGCAGTGTAGTTAGCGCTGAAATTATTAGTTAGTCCTTCGTTCATTGTTTACTATTTCTGTACACTGATGATAAACTAAACAATTTTTAAAATGAAACATGAAAATAACTTGTTATAAAAAATGGAGATAGCATGCTAGGCCTAGGCTTCACTATAATTTAAATCCTTAAATCAGCTTTGGTTTCTAC